AATTGTCAACAATAATAAAATTGAAGTACCACATGGAGAAAATCTTAAAAAATACGTAGTCTCATCATTAAAAAGTGTGAAATTATATTTTGATAATATTTACTGTAAAATTATCAAATATAATTTTCACGGATAAATAAGTAATCCACAGAAAAACATAAAGTAAAATGTTTCATTGTTGTATTATTTCTATTTTTATATCTATTCTATCAATTGTAACAAAAGTATTTTTACATTTGAAAGTTTACTTATTTTGGAATCACTATTGTTTTTCAATACATCAATTTCAATTTCGTTTTTTTACAATAACACTCAGTTTGTATAATTTACAAAAACATGAGCAAATCAAATATGTATACATATAAAAGAAATAGGTCACTGTGATGCTTTCACAAAACAAAAATAATTATATAGCATAGAACATATCCATCTGTCCGTGGAATTATACCAACTAAATGTTCCAATTTATAAACTTTCCTTCCAATTTATTTTTAAATCTAAAATTGCATTCAACACAGAAAAAGTAAACAATATATATTGAGAGTAAGCAAACATATTATTCCGGGTTTTTTTCATGAAAAAAATCTAAAATGTTAAGTGAAAACGTGGACTTAATACTTAATGAATGTTACTTTATCAATTGCCAAAAAGCAACAGAAGAATGCTTCAGGTAATTGGCTTATTAGGAACTTTTTGGAAACTATAACAAGACTCCAAGAATTAAAAGCTTTCAAAATGAGAAGTTTCTAGTTAAATTGCTAAGATATTTAAGTTCTGTTCAAAATTACGCTGCGTTTAGATCTCATTACATTTTCTAGAGAACAGTTTATTTTACATAAGAACATGTCGAGTTAATTTTACGCAAGAACTTATACTGAGTTATAAATTTTGTTCAAGGACAAGGGAGATCCGGACGACATAAGTTCATTTTGACTTATATTTTTCCCTGTCTTCCTTCAATTAAACACAAAATATGTTAACACATGCCATGGTACTGTTTGTGCTAATCACTGGCACAAATGTTGTTGTTTTATCAGAAACGAAAAACAATTTGGGCAGAATTGTAATTTGCTATTTATTTTGAGGGCTCCCTTGGAATAGAGCTCTGTCCTGGATATTTGTAGTACGAATTGCTCCGAATAGTTATGTTTTTTCTACTTCCAATACAAATCCTCTCTCACAAGTTCATTATGTAGGCCTATGGGAATCAATGCTTCATTTGTTAATTAGACATTATAATATTTTAAACTTAGTATCTATCATTAATTTTTAATATTAAATATTTTAATCATGTCTGCCAAAACAATGTCGTTATCAATTTGAATTTCTCAAAAAAAGTTTATTAATGATGGCCAATGTCACGACTGTGTATTGTAATTTTGTTATAAGACATAACAATATTATTTATGACTGGAATATTGTTTATTGCCTGTTAGGAAGTGCACCAATCAGTGAATGTGTGCTTACTATTCTTTATAATGCTTGAGAAAAAATGAAAATCAAATTGAACAAATATTATACAAATCATTCGTTATTGCAGTTCATGATTTGTAAAATGCACCCAAGCGATGGTATATAAATAGTATGTCTATATTCCAATATAATGACAAACTGTTTTTGTCATTGTTCTATAAAACATATTAAATAATAAAATATCAAACGACAAGACGCAGCTGTATTATTTATATATTTTTATGATTATTTGATTATAAAGACTGTATAATTTTCATGCTACCCACCCAATACCGATATTTTTAATACTGATAAATCAATTAGGTCTAAGAATCGCACCAAATGTCGATTTTTTAATGTAATTTTGAGCATATTTTTATTATCGTTTACATATTTTCATTTTAAGTAACCAGGTTGATCTATGTAGGAATTTCAAATCTTATCTTCAAATGCTTTGGGACCTCAGAAAAGTTATTTTTAGGAAACATTTGTACAATATAATGTACATAATTCGTATTGTAATTAAGGTAATACATGTGTAATACCAGCCTTTTTTAGAGTCGTTAAGTTGCTAAGCTCCACAACATGAATGGGGCTTGAGTTAAGAAAATATAAACTTACACAAAAGAAGTTAAGAGCGAAACTGGCACATCTGCTTCTATGACCAGTTTCGTATGTTTAAAGGTGATAATAAATCATCTGAAAAAATAGGTGGTTAATTTGGACGAATTTCGTAAACATGTAAAAATAACCAACTATCAAAATAGTATCGTTACGTTGTAAAACTGCTTTAAAGAAGACTGTGAACATCTGTTTGATTATTGCATGTGATGTTTCACAGTATGTTGATGCTATGCTGGTCATGATTTCTGTTTTAAACAACAGGATATAATAACAATGTAAAGAAATATTTACCACGTAAAGATAAAACTTTCTCTGTTAAATGAAACAGGCATCAAAAATAGACGTTTTATGACATCTTATAATGAAATTTTATTTACATTTTCCTTATGATGAAGTAGAAAGGGGAAAGCTATGGCATACTTAATGTCCGAGCCACAGCGACTTAGAAGTTTTTTTTTTCTTGCTTCGAGTTGTTAATGATGAGAATTTGTTTGTTGTTGGGTTTTATGTCGCACCAACGTTGCATAGGTCATATGGCGACTTTCCAGATTTACAGGTGGGGGAAAACCTAGCTCAGGTGCACCTCAGTACTTTATTTCAGGCACAAACGTTTACCTTAGTAGAACCACAGACGTTCCAAAAAATATCCGTCATTCATGAATATTATTTCTTGACAGCTATATTTTTGTTCATGAAAAATAACGATCATGATAAATTAATAGTAGTACAGTATATTGAAATTATTTTTGTCTTAAAATTTATAGGTTTATAATAAAAGGAAAATTATGTTGTAGTAGCTTTCTGAGGTCATATATTTTGTAACTCGCGGCGTGTGAAATAAGTATCAATTTTTCGACGCCACTCATAGCAAAATACAAAACCTCATAAAGCGACTCCAACAAAGTAGTCCGTATAATTCGATGAATTCGGAATTCAAAAAAATAATTTCTTTCAATTATTAAAGCCAGGAATAAACGACTTAGATAATCATTAGATTGTTGATTAACCGCTCTAAATATTCGCTGTACCATTCTGAAGAAACAATTAATCAACTCATGATTGTCCCACAACAATTCCTTTCGCTGAAATATCCATATGTGTATCTAATAGATATTGTGAAGGTCAAACAAAACATGCGTCTGCCGCATGTCACGTAGTCACTTGTCAGACAGTGTTACGACGTGGGAATTGATTCAAACAGAATATCCTGTTTCTTTTATTAAAGCTGAATGTGTCTTAAAAAAACAACGCCTGAAAAGGCCTTACGTCTGCAAAATATAAATCTTGTAAAGAATTTCTGTAACATCAATGTCTTTATTAATATCAAACAAAAGGGTAAATGTTCTTTAATGAGTCTTCTTTATGGAATAGACTATCATAATTGCTTTTTGTGGTGTATTTCTCTCACTAAACATCTTACAATATAAAACGTATGTCAGACTAGACCCATCGAATTACTTTAAATGACAAAAAGGATTGATTAATAATTACAATCTGAGATTCTTTTAGGATGGTTAAGTGAAGAGACATTTACAAATAAAAAAGTTTAACGGAGTCTGGTGTACAAGTTCAAACTCAGACAAGTATTATTTTCATTGAAAATGCCGATTTTTTAAAAATATTTACTTGCCCTAGCAATACAAAGAAAATACAATTATTAATGTTCATACTTGAGACCAGTTAATATGGTGGAGTGCTGGTAAAAAAAGACATAATTTTGTAAATGTATTAGACAAATCAATAAACTCTTGTCCAAAATTGGGTTGAAAGTCTTAAATAATAATTAGAAATGTGTCCATAGGACACTTATATCCCTACTTCATTTGTTGTCACGGTGGCATATTAACATTCTTATGCATATTTAAAAAAATCAAGTATTTCTCAAATAAAAATTCCATGTGTGAAGACTTTGCCATTATATAATAGTGTGAGGGTAAAAGGTCATCTAGTACCAAAAACCTTAACTGAATTTCTAGTGGAAATGGAGACATTTCTTCTTTGCCTTCATTGGATATCACCTGGTGATCACATGAACATATGTTCAGTTTAAAGAAATACAGCTATGGGCACAGAAATGACTTAAATGTTACAGTTTTTTATTAAAGGTTTGACTCTGATCTGGACACCGAAGTAGATACCTAGGCAACATGTATAACTCTCTTATTCTATACATCAAAGATGAAATAAATTCCAAAACAATGCTTTTAATAATAAGTTAACCTGCCATGGCTTGAACTCTTATCACTATTGTAATTTTCTTATATAGACAATGCAAAAAATGAATTATAAGGCCACAATATCAACCTTATTTTCATAGTGTAAATAATCAAAACATTATGCCTTCATGGTTTTGGAAGAAACCCTCCTAAGACAGAGGTCAACATTTCAATAGTGAAAAGATTGCTCATAGATTTCGAAACAATAAAGATATAATGCAATAATGCTTCATGCAAAAGAACTGAAAATTGTTTACTTATCTCTTTTAAAAGGATGTCTCCGACCAACTTGGCCAGACTTTGTTTTAATAATAAAATACAAACTCCAATTAGCTTCCAAAAACATAACTAAATCATGTATAAGTGTTCCAAGATTTATCATAAATACATGTACAAGAAAAAGTATTCCTGAATTTCAAGCAGGATTTACATAAAAAGCACAAACTGCAGGCATCTGAGATTAGCCATCACAAGATTGTGTAAGGCTGAAAATGGTGCATTCTTGCTTGGACTAAAACCACTGACCACAGCTTACAGTTGCACAGCTCTACTGACTACCCTATTTCTGGTGTCATACAAATTTCTATCCTACATGTATGTAGATAAGTTGTAGACCATGGTGCAAATAAAATGTGATAAACATGGGATATGTAATATTCTTTTACATTTATTGATTTACAATTAGTATGTACAATTAACTAGATGAGATTTTGTATTGTGTACAATTTATTAATCACAATTACGTTACATGTATATACAAATAATTAACTGACTGAGTCAGTAACTTTGCAATCACTGTCAAGTTTATTTGTCAATTCAGTGTCCACTTTCTCTTTTGACTTTTTCTCAGATCTTTCCCTTAAACTTATTGTGTTACCAAATTTATCAACAATAACTTCTTCTTCATCATCAGCATCATCACCTGTGTCATCTTCATCATCACTAAAACAATAAAGTATTTTATAAGTTAAATTTTAAAGTAAGTTTTGTATACAAACAATCTAGTGAATCAAAGGGTCTTGTGGAATGTTAAATATAGTAAAGAGAGGAGGGAGTTCATTTATGATTGTAAAGATTGACACATATTCATGTGACTAAAATAAGTTAAAACAAGGGCAACATTGTCCCAAAATACGCCCGTCACAAAAGCATTATAGATATACATATAGGAGATATGCTCTGTGTCACACTTGAAGTCATGATAGTTATGATTTGTGTTACAATCCATCTATGATGACTAAATTGTCCCTGTACACAAAATTTGACCTCTCTATGTGACATTGACTTTGGTAGCAGGGAACAGGATTATGTGTTCAATGAACCTCACAATGGTGAACATTTGTGCCAAGTTACATTAAAATCCCCAAATAAATATAGAAGTTCAGCTCCGAACAAGCATTTTTCAATGACCTCTAAGTGTGACCTAAACCTTCAACCTAGAGACCTGGTTCATGCATGTGACACTGTTTCTCATAGTAGTGAACATTTCTATGAACTTTCATTAGAATCCCAACATGTAGGAGATATGCTCCGAACAAAAAGTGGACGCTACCCGCCCGCCAGGGGGGGAAACTATAATACGACCCGTTTTTAAAAAGGTATATAAAGCAATTTAAAAACTACAGTTGTGTCGATAGGACACTAATTCTTATTAACTGACTTCCTTTGCTGTCACAGTAGAATATATACATATTTATACATATTTTAATGAAAGTCAAGTGTTATATCAATACATGTATATCACAGTATTATACTTAATAGGTTTCATAAATATATAACTGAGTAAACTCTGCTTTATTAAGCAAGTATTTCATGGGTCACTGTAATCCTAACATAATGACCTCAAATTCAATAGGGGTAAATTATAGGTCATTGGAAATGTTTTTCAAGGTTTCGTAACTTCTGAAGTTATCAATAAGACAAAAAAAAAACCAAACAAATGTCACTGTGACTTTGAACCTTGGCCAAATGACCTCTGATCAATAGGTATGATCTATTGGCCTAAACGTTATTCTTTCTCAACAGACGGAATGGACAAGGATTTCACAGTACCACTGTGGCCTTGACCTTTGATTAATTACCTCAAAATTACAAGGGGTCAGCTACTAGTCATGACTAGCCTACATGCAAAATCTTTGAACTATAGACCTTATATTAATCAAACAAGCTATTAGAGGTGGATTCACTGTGACATTGCCCTTTGTCATTTTTACCAATGTATCATTACATTCAAAATTTTTGTTGATGTGTGCTACAATAACATGAATTAGTTTATACAAATTTATTTTAGTTTGATTGTGTTGGAAGCTATAAGCTTATTGAAACACTCTCGAATCCGTTCCTGGAACCAACCAGTACTAAGCAATGGATGTAAAGTTTCTTGCTTAAGGAAACAAAGGCTTGCCCCTGACCCTCTCATGCTACAGTTAATGCTTAGTGACAAGTATCTAAGCTCTAGGGATTAAAGTTCCACAAAAGAATACACAAATGTATTTTCTTATACAAGTCATATAATCTAAGTGACCCCTGGGACAGAGTCATTTTTGATCCAAGGGTCACTTTTGTAGAAGACTACAAGGTCAAGCTACATGCCAAATATCTAAGTTCTGTGAAGTTTCTGAAATTTTTAAAGACTTCATTCTTATAAAAAGTCTATTTTTAGCTTTAGTATTCTCTTATTACTCAGACAAGCTTTTTGTGGCTTTTTATGTATGGTGACTATAACATAATGACCTCAAAGTCAATTAGGACTAATCTACTGACCATTGGCAATGACCCTTCCAAGTCACATAAACCACAGCTTTCTTTCACTCAACTTGCAGCCCAGATAAGGAAAGGGTGATTATGGTGATGTAAATATGTTCCAATTGACCCATTATTACAGTACTCTTCCACTTTATAAGTGAAGACAAATTCTAACAAAGATGCATAATGCTTTATTATTATCTCACCTAGAGGGTGGTAAATCTCTATCTCTCTTTCTGTTTGGATTATAATGCTCTTTACTCATATCAATATCTGCCAGATCTGAAACATTACAAGTACATGTACGAGCTTATGTCATTTAAATACAGTTTTAACACAGTTTTAACTCTTAAAGCAGCATGCCTCCTGATTCATGCTAATTTTCATGACTTTTTTTTAAAATGTAATATCAAGGGAACAAAGAAGGTAATTTACACATTACAAACAGTACTTAAAATCTACAAAAATGATCAAGAATAGGTCAAAATAGCCCTTAATGTTTTAGTAACCCAGTAGGCATAAGGTCATGACTATACTGGAGGCAAAGTTTAGTGACTTCAAATTTAGTATGTTAAGTAGAAGAATTCTGTAAGACTTATCCTTTTAATGAACAGATGAAATTATAAATATATGTATAGAGGATATTAAATGAGTGTTAGTTCAATACTGAATTAATTGAACAAGTTGAATAAAATCATATTATGTGAGCCTCTGGTGAGCAGAATACTATTTTATTCAACAAATTTAATAAATTTAATAATGAACTTACATGTAAATAACATTTTTTTATCACATACCCAAAATAATGTGAAAAAGAACCATTTTTATTGACATGCCAAGAGTGTGGTGCTAACATTTTGCATATTTTTATATTATGTTTGTATAAAGCAAATAGCATCATGTAAAAATATAAAAAAATATATGCATGGCCGTGCAAATACCATTTTACAGAGTTGTATCTGCATGACTCTTTGATAAATAAATATATGTATACTATTGGCAAAGAACATAAACTATGCTTAAATCAATAAAGTTTTACATACAGAATAAAATAACTTGAGATATATGTAGGTACATTGTACATTATTTTATATTAAATGTTTGTGTTCCTTCTAACACAAAATAATAATAAACCATTGCATTTATATAACAGCAAAAATTGCATAAATGTTAACATCTGCAGTATTAAAGATGTGCAAAAAACAAAGCCTGGATACTGTTCAACACCTATTTTTCGCGAGAACCTTATTTTGCGAATTTGAGGCAAAATGTCCAAAATAATCATTTCGCGTCAACATGAATTTGCGTCTTCCCGAAAAATGTGAAACCAGAAACCCAATGTCATTCGGATATTTTCTGTCCTGTCCGTTCACTAACTTTGCGTCGTTTATTGTGCGACGAATGCATTTATATCTGTATCGATTTTTCTGCTAGCTTGCTAATTTTCTTGTTAAGTGAAAGATGATAATTTCTCCAGCATGCAAAGTGTTAAAGTTACACTGATTAGCCATTCAAAGGCAAGCAGACGAAAATCAATTAAACAGTACTGTAATTTGCCTAACCTGTAGTAAACGATTATGTTTACCCTCCGGCTTAAACTGTAGTACAATACAATAGGATACAATGAATAGAAATGTTACAAACAACTCGCAGGTGCTAAAGTTGACACAGGTTATATGCAGCGAAGAAGTTTTTTCCAATTCCTCAATAATACCAAATTGTTACAGGTAAATATTTCATACTAGTAATCTGTACGATATGTATATGCTGCAACACTTGAATAGCTACATGATGTAACCAGAACTGGTTTCGATACTTTCCCGCAGATATATATCCATGTTACGCATTTTCGGATAGTGTTCATTTTCGAACAAGTGTATAGACAAAGTGAAATATTCGCGAGAAATATGAATTCGCGTCTTAGAAAACACACGAATATTAGCGAAAATAAATTTCTCGCGAATAATAAGTGTTTTACAGTATTTCTTTCTATAATTTTTTTTGTTAACCCTTAAAGAATATAAAGCTATATGAGCCGCATCACGACAAAACCAACATAGTGCGATTGCAACCAGCATGGATCCAGACCAGCCTGCGCATCTGCGCAGTTTCTCTACTTGTTATAGGGTTTGTAAGCGAACAGCATGGATCCTGATCAGCCTGTGCGGATGCGCAGGCTGGTCTGGATCCATGCTGGTCGCAAACCCATTATGTTGGTTTTGTCGTGACACAGCTCATATCTTAAAATAGCAGCATATTTTGTTCTCAAATATTCTGAAGTATTCTGCTTATGTGCAATATTCATGTGTGTTAAAGAGACCTTCAGCATTTATAATCTGTTGCGAAAAAATTTCTGTGTTGTCTCAAACTAAGTATTTCAGTAATTTTATCTTAGAAAAGTGCATCATATATATCACTGTTAAATCTTCTCCCAAACAGTGTCCCAAGAGCTATTTATAATGCCTTACTGACATTTGTGACTATAATAGAAGATAGGGAAACGGATTGTCTGCTATACTATTTGAAATATAGAGCTCGTAGTGGTATTGATGGGTTTCCTTATTGTTTATGTATTTTATCGTTCCAAGATTTCATATGCATCTTAATTCTTTTGACAATTATATGAAACTTATCTAAAAATAACATATTTATTTGTAAGAAAAACTGAAAGCCGTTTTAAATAACAGAGACAATGTGTGTAACAACTCATTTGAACAAAGGATTAAGGTTAATCACTTTCCGTTCCTGCAGATTAAATGTTTAACAGTGGCCAAAATATGTACATTTATATCTGAGCTACATGTAAGCTGACTTTTAGTAATTACTTTTTGTCTAGGATATGAGAACTTACTTCAAGTTCTTCTTTGTGCAATATAAGAAATATGAGTTGGCACCTTAGTAGAATAACTCACCTTCCGTAAGCTTACCTTTAAAGTTATAATGAGCAGTTTTAAATTTTAATGCATGATTACTTCATTGCACAAACTCATTACTACAAAGATCAATTTTAACACAATTTCTAAGAGAACATTTTGTATTGTCCAAAATTGGAAATACAATTTCATTACATCTCAGAAGAACAATTTTACAAACCTTTATAGTCTTTGACTTTCTCGCTATTTTCTTGTTGAATAAGGTCAAGGTACTGTTGTTGAGCTGCTACTACCTCGGTGCTATTTTTACATCTACTATACATGTCAAACACTTGCTCATTTACACTGAGAAAAGACCTACCCCATCGAAACTTGCTCAACAATACCTCACATTCTGCCTGAAAACCTGCAATGTACAAAACAACATTACTTTACATTTTGTGCATGCTATTTAATAAAAATATGCACTAACTATAGCTGTGCCCATGACTAAAAGAGGGCATTAATTGTACCTGCTAATGAATAAAAGTATGCATGAGGTGTGCCTATTTGTAAATAAACACATGCATAAGGTATGCCTCCTTATGAATAATATATGCCTTGAATAAAGGGTCATCTGAGGTTACGCTTTTAAGAACCCTTTAAACCTGCTGATTCTGTATAATGGTTTTTTCATACTATGAATTTGAAATGGTCTATTGGAAAATAAAGGGATTTAAATATAAACAAGAACTGTCAGTAGGACAGAAACGCTCGACTATTCTTAGTGCTTGATAGTAAAAGAGCCTTGATAATGTAAAATTAATAACAAAAGGACAAATTTTTTCTTTAAATCCATGTTACAGTTATAGGCCTTGGAGAGAATCCTATTATGCTCTCAAAGAAGAGTATAAAATTTCAACATGTTTCAATAGAATATGAAAATATCTTAGGTGGTATGCAAACCTAAATGTAAATTCTAAGTAAATTCTAAGTCGAAAAAGGGCATTATTCTGTCAAAATGCTTGATACAGTTACCTCCTCTTGTCTACAGGTTGGGGTTATAATGGTGAAGAAGTGTGCAAAGTTTCAAAGCCATATGTCAATGGACTTTGAAAATATTTTGAGGTATTGCAAAAACTTTAACGTAAATTCTAAGTCAAAAAAGGGGCATAATTCTGTCAAAATGCTTGGTACAGTTACCTTCTCCTTTCTACAGGTTGGGGTCATGATGGTGAACAAGTGTGCAAAGTTTCAAAGCCATATGTCAATGGACTTTGAAAATATTTTGAGGTATTACAAAAACTTTAAAATTGAGCTTCCAACAAAATAGAGTCTTGTCAAGACTGTAAGAATGTACTATGAGGTGGCTATAATGTACAGACAAATTAAAGGTATGTTCACTATACTGTATATAGCACTCTAATCACTTGTTATATAGAGGATATTAAATGAGTGTAGATTTGGCGAGCTCAATATTACTTCATTCAACAAGTTTAATTAATTTAGTAATGAACCTGCAAGAATATTATATTCCATTTTTCACATGCTCAAAATGAAGACTGTTTAAAGTGAAGAAGAATCATTTTTCATTGATGCGCCTATAATGTAATGCTAACATTTAGCGGGTCTTTATGCTATGTTTGTTTAACGCAAATGGCATCACTTCAAAATGTATGCACGGCTGTGCAATACCGTTTTTACAGAGATTCAAAAGTGTCATATGTATTAAAGATTTATATGAGATTAAGGGACTGATATCCTGATGAGACAGGCAATTATATTTCCTGCACTAGTTCAACTTCTAACTGTTATAATATCAAACCAAAATGATATCATCAGACAAAAATCAGTAAAAATAAGACATTGACATGTAACAAACAATTACTTTTCCATCACAGGTCAAGCACAAGTTAATTAGAATAAAATCACACTGTCATACTACCCTGTTAAATAATCTAAATAAGTAATAAAAAAATGACACAATCCTTTGTAATAACGTCTGTATACAATTGAAAAATGAACAGTGTTGTTATAACAACTAATAAACTGTGAACATATATGTGATACCATTAACAATGTATAATCCAACATCAGTCAACATCTTTTTATCATGAGCAGCAGAATGTGTGATCCAAAGTATAACCAATGTTCTATATGGTCTATTAGAAAAAAAACATGAATGAGATCTGTGATCCATTCATCAGAAAAACCATTGGTCAAAGAGTTCATTAGGACACCAGACAAATAGGTAGCAAGGTCTCCCACAGTTTATTACCCTTGTGAATGACATTGTCAGAGAAGTCACTATGGCAAAAGGAGAAAAGGGTGTGTGCATGTTATAACAGTTTATTAACCTAGTAAACTTAAATAAAGACACCATCCATTTATATACAGCATAAATATGTCAAAATCAAAAAATTATGTCCCTGGTTTTTAACTTCATTTGTCCATCAGCCATAACATTTATTCATATTAACTGTACACGCATATACATGTATATGTCTTTTCCTAATAAATCCAGCTGGTAAATAGTTGTAATCTGGAACTTGGCTGGAATGTGGCAAACATAGGGGTTTTCAAGCTAATCCCCCCAATAGTTTTAGTTTATACAAATTTATTTTAGTTCCATAACAGTGTTGGAAGCTATAAGCTTATTGAAATACTCTTGAATCCGTTCCTGGAACTAACCAGTTCATGTACTTAGCAATGAGTGTAAATGGCTTGCCCCTGACAGGGTTTGAACCCACGCTGCCAGCAATCCTTAGATTACAACATGTAGTCTGACATGTAAATCACACGGCCACCCCAACACAAACAGACTTCACAGTGCACTAATGTTCCCAATATATTAGTCAATCTGTTTGCACTCATTTTAGAAGCTGTAACTGTAAAGTTTGTTTGGAATGCAACATTAGCTAGGAAAATCCAAAATATTCTTAATTCCATAGTAAGTCTATTCTGTCTTCATATTTTGTAGTTGTATACTTGTATATTGAATCATAAGGGGCATAACTTTGGAAAATATAACCCTAGGATTACCTGCCATTTGATCACATGATGATAGTGAATAAGTACACCAAGTTTCATGTACCAAAAATGTGCAGATTGCAAATTTGTTGTTGTAAATGACTCAGATCATGACTTTTCCATCAAATGTAAAAATATTTACATCGAGGTAACAAGTTCACATATCAGCAATAGAAGATAACATACAAGAGCCACTTGAACCAGGTGATGCACCCCGAATAGGTCTTAGACACAGAACAGTATACCTTTAATAGTTTCAGAGTTATGTCCCGGACAAAGTTCAAAGTGCAATCATTCCAAACTTAGGCAAGGCAGAGTTCTTTTCACTGCACTTCTTCTCAAGAGATCTATCTATAGACTTAATTAGTTTCTTGTTGATACCCCTTGTAGTTTCACAGTAATGTCCCAGACAAAGAAACAAAGGGCAATAACTCCAAAATTAGTTAGGGCAAAGTCAATGTTCTTTTGCACTGCATTTCTATTTAATGAGATCTATCTACCTACAAAGTTTCTTGTTCATATCTCTTATAGTGTCAAAGTTATGTTCCGGACAATGTTCAAAGTGTAAAAATGAACAAAGGGTAATTACTTCAAATTTAGGCAATGCAGAGTTATGGTTCTTTTGCAATGCACTTTCATTAAATCTATCTACCTACAAAGTTTCATGTTGAAACCTCTTATGGTTTCAGAGTTATGTCAAGGACAAAGTTCAAAGTGTAAAAATGAACAAAGGGCAGTAACTCCAAAATTAGGCAAGGCAGAGTAACGGTTTCATGCACTGCACATCTACCTTATGAGCTCTATCTACCTACAAAGTTTCATGTTGATACCTCTTGTTGTTTCAGAGTTATGTCCCGCACAAGAAAAGCGGACAAACAGACAAAGTGGCTATTACAAGCTCACTTGGTGAGCATAAAAAAATCAATTAAGTAAGGTTGCAATGAGCTGATTGCAGAGATAATCCAACTTAATCAGTGTATTGATACTTGCATGCCAAATTCATACACAATTAATGACATCTTTTAAAAAGGGTTCCAAAAATGACTTGATTGCAATGAAAATCAAACATTACTTATGTTGATGTGATATAACATACTTGCATGCCAAATATTAACAGAATTATAGAAATGCTTCAAAAGTTATTCTGCTGAAAAAAATAATTTCACTTAAAAACTAGAACTGTGTCCAAAGGACACGGATGCCCCAACTGACTACATTTATATGGTATATAGTGAAAAAATCAACAAAGGGCCATAATTCTGTTAAATTTGGTCGCAGCAAAAATTCCTTCATTTACTACCATCTACACATTAAGGTTGTTCATCCCCGGAAGTTTAAGCAAAATCTGCCATCCGGTTTAAGAGGAGTTGCATTCACAAAATTTCTATATAGTATATAGTGAAAAAATCAACAAAGGGCCATAATTCTGTTAAATTTGGTCGCAGCAAAAATTCCTTCCTTCACTACCATCTACACATTAAGGTTGTTCATCCCTAGAAGTTTAAGCAAAATCTGCCATCCGGTTTAAGAGGAGTTGCGTTCACAAAATTTCTATATGGTATATAGTGAAAAAATCAACAAAGGGCCATAATTCTGTTAAATTTGGTCGCAGCAAAAATTCCTTCCTTTACTACCATCTACACATTAAGGTTGTTCATCCCTGGAAGTCTAAGCAAAATCTGCCATCCGGTTTAAGAGGAGTTGCGTTCACAAAATTTCTACATAGTATATAATGAAACAATCAACAAAGGGCCATAATTCTGTTAAATTTGGTCGCAGCAAAAATTCCTTCCTTTACTACCATCTACACATTAAGGTTGTTCATCCCTGGAAGTTTAAGCAAAATCTGCCATCCGGTTTAAGAGGAGTTGCGTTCACAAGATTTCGGGACGTACGGACAGACGGACGGACGGACAGACGGACGGACAAGTGCAACGCTATATGCTCCCACTCTGTGGGGGCATAAATATGCTTAAAAGGGGCGTAACTATATTAATTATAGGTTAATTGCAGAGAAAATCAAACTTTACCTGTGTTTTTATATAATATACTGACATGCAAAATTTAAACACAAACATTGAAATCTTTCATAATTATTCTGCTGAAACCAATAATTTCACTAAAAATTGCTTTAAAAGGTGCATAACTCTTTTGATAACGAGTTCATTGCAGCTAAAAATGAACTTGACAAACTCCACATGTGTTCTGATATAACATATTTAACTGTATGCCAAATATAAACACAAACACTGAAATCCTTCAAAATTATTCTGCGGAAACCAATAAATTCACTTAACAATTGCTTTAAAGGGGCATAACTCTTATTATAATGAGTTTGGGCATAACTCTTATTATAATGAGTTCATTGCAGGTAAAATTGAAACTTGACCTGTGATTTGATATAACATACTTATATACCAAATATAAACACAATCATTTAAGTCTTTCAAAAGTAATGCTGTGGAAACAAATTGTCTACATACAGACAGACAGATATGCAATCTAAATGGGATAAAGGGCCATACCTTTTGTTATTCCTTTTGTTTAATAGAGGATTATTGGCCCATTATTATTTTGTTATGGAATTAGCTCTATTGTTCTCTTTTGTTCTGTTTACAGTTAGATGACCCCCTGGCAATTTTTTAGTAATGCACAGACAGACAGACAGTTAACATATAATAATGCATCTGGAAGGTCTTCATGCACATAAAAACTATATTACATAATTATTATCTGTTAAAATGCTAGCCTTCAAATCCTACCATTTTGCATAGGAAACAAACAGAAGCTGTCAGACAGTGAATTATGTGTCTGACAATTCTATGTACTTAACAGTAAAACAAGAGCCTGTCTTTGTCTGGCACATTATATTTGATTTTGACTAGATATGTTTTTGTTTCCTAGTGTTATTTAGCTGAAAATATTTTAAAGTTAATTAAATTAAATAATTAAATCATTTACACAATAAGATCAATATTTGTTTACTTGTTTCATAGCATTAATTAGGACTGCTAACTAAAAGGAGCACAGTTTATTTCCTTTCCTTATTTTCATAGCCCATATATATATATAATATTTTAACGAAAAACTCAATACATGTATAATAAATGAGTATAATTTTTGTAAAATGAAACACCATGTTTAAACAGTCATACATGATTGTTTTACAATGGATTTGTATAATTCATTCAGTATGTCAGTCTGCTAAATAATTCGGCACACATTGATGTATGATTTACCTGTGAGAAACATTGTAGCTACAAAAGCCTCCACACAACTTAGAGTACACGGCTTCCCATAATTCACTGGGTTAGTGGCCACTAAATATGGCAACAATCGTAGATGGTTCCCTTTCATTTTGTTAAATGGGGTGTCTTCTAATCTAGCCCATGAACAGTCAACCACTGCTACCCCATGTTCACTTACTATATCTCTGTAATACATCATTAGAAATGGTAAAACTTTGGGAAATTTAGAACAAAAACAATAAATAATGTCAAACAAAATATCCTGAGAGATTCTCTTCCATTTAGCAAGCTTACTGAATATTCACTATTTAATGTATGTGTATGTGTCAAGCACTTCAAAGAGAAGAGCCTTAACTTTACTGTCAATTTTCTCAACCTTACACAAAGCCTTAATACAAAGCTTCATGGAGCTAAGACTGAATCTTAATCTTCTTGCATACAACTTATGAGAAAAAACATTATCTTATAATTTATTATATACTTCATGATATATAAGGCTCATATGTGATATTTAGACATAATCATCAAGAGACGTCATACTACCGTAAACGGTACGAGGATTTTTTTATTGTAACACCGACCTGCATTCTCTGGATGAAGTAGATACTTTCCCGTATTATCTGGGAATTTGATTGGCTGCTGATGGGGAGTCAATATGTGATGATTTTATTCTAAATATCACTTCAAATCATTAGTGCCACTCTTAATTAAGTACAATGTATTCAAAATGCATTATCCTAGGAAATATTTGTGTTTTATGATTCAATAAATTTTATAGTACAAATAAAATTAAATTAGAAATTTTAACACATTTCTCTGGATTTACTGATATTATTCTGGAAAAAAAGTGTTTTTTATCGCTTTTTTTATTGCATTTTAACCTGAATATAAATGGCATAGATAAAGTAGAAACACTTTTCCTGATTCCATCAGTTTTAGGCATGCCCAGATAAGAAAGAAACCCTGATACAAGAAACAGGAATAATTTTAGGCCTACTGTTTCATTAATCATATTTAGATAAATAACAAACATTTAGTTTTGTATCAATATTACTAACATATATGCCTGAGTGCATTTTTCTCTCTATATCATTAGCATAGGTCGACAAAATGTCAGGAAGTTTTTATTTGAATATCAATGAATATGATTTAAAACAGTAACTGTTGCAATTATGTTCGATAATAAGAAAGTGTCAATTCAAGGCTTTTAGATAAACTTTCATGATTATGGTTTAACTTGTTTTATGCCCAAATGTGCTAATTCATTGTATCTGAAAATGAGATTCTTGTGTGTAACTGCATCACTGGAATGTGCAAAAAGTTTAAAATGAGAAAATGCACATTTGTATATACATGTACCTGTCAGCTGGGGAGACACATTGTTTTCCCATAGGTGAAAGTATCAAACCACTAAATCTTTGGCCAAGCTTCAATGTTTTAACAAGACCCATTCTTGACAATTTACGCCCAGTACATTTTTTTGGGTCACAATGTTCAAGATCCCACATTGCTAAAGGAAAGCTTACATCCACAACTTCATCTTCGTTGTCACTCCCTGATGAATCTGGAAAAGAAATCTGAATAATTCAACAGACATGATGATATAAATACTTTTCTGGCATTTGAGTAATAATCAGATATCAATTTATGCTTGGTCCTTACATCTTTTTTTCTCTTTTCCTTTACTTAGATTTTATGACCACAAAATAGAGCAGATTTGTAATTATTAAACTGTTAACAATCAACAACTCTTGCTAAGTGTTAAAAAGACTGATTATTTTACATAAAAGAGAAAGGGGAAGGATTAATTCAATTATGACAGCAGAGTACAGCATCAAACATTTTCATTAAATGTTGCCTGATCGCGATCTATTCCAGGATATAGTCATTTCAGCATCTGGACATTGTGTTTTTACTCAGGGACTTAAATAGTCCTATAACATAAGACGTTTACACGAGTACTTAGTACACTCCAACATCTGATCGACTTTTTCATAAGTTCCTTAAGCAAAACGCATACACATGTAGCAATTCTGAAGAGCTATGTAAACTGTCATTATTTACTACAAAAACAACATTTTGAGTCAAAAGATATGCAGACAGTAAATTCAAACATTTCGAGTGTAAGTAGTACTAAAGAAAACGTCATATGTTATAGTTTGTTTGTTTGTTTGTTTTGGGTTTAACGTCACATTGATACAGTATAGGTCATATCGCAACGTTCAAGCTTTACTGGTGGAGGACGACCTCAGGTGCCCTTCCTTGCATTATTTCAGGCACGAACCGGCACCTGAGTAGAACCACCGACGTTCCGTAAGCTCAGCTGGATAGCTTCCTCACATGAAAGAATACAAAGTCCCTGTCGGGATTCGAACCCACAGCGGTAAGGGGCAAGTGGTTTGAAGTCAACAACCTTAACCACTCGGCCATGGACGCCCCCTTATGTTATAGGACTAGGACTTAATATACTATTTTATAATTTACAAACGTAAGTTTAAGTCCGAATTTTGAATTGGATTTAAAGTGAGTCTAAAAGTTTAAATGTCAAGCATTTGTGATTATCTTATTGACATGCAAATAAGGTTAATTTCATAAAGCAAGGTAATACGGGGAAGTCAAAGACCGGGCCCGCGAAGCGGGTCCGGGCTTTGGCTTGCCCGGCTATAGACTACACGTGTATATTTAAAAGAAAATCAAATAAAAAACAATTAAAAAATATATAGAATTCTATACCTATCAACGAAATTTTCAGTGTCAGTTCTAGTCGGGCGCCGCCATTTACAATATAGCTCAATGATAATAGGCGGGGCATTCCGATAACGGAACAAATCTCAACTTTTCGGATAAATAATAATCGTCGAGTGTTCCGAGTGAAAACGGAAGCAGTGAATGTAATACCGAATGACACCTTTAAAACGGAAGGAATGAAAGGAATATTTTAACGACTTCCCCGTTCATAGGCTTTGCCTAATTTCATATTATCTAAAGATCTTTACATGATCATTATGACTATCACCAAACAGAAAATTACCAGAATTATTTTTTTCCTCTTCATTTTGGAAACCGTCAGAAAATTGTTTTCTTCTGTCCAATCTATGACCTCTATTTCCTTTCTGTACGGATCTTTTACCTTTCTTTTGTCTGTTCATTCTTAAAGTTGACAAAAATTAAAATAGTAAATTTCACACGATCATGTCAATTTATGGGGGCTGCCATTTTGGCCAATATTTTGATCATGTGACCCTAATATATCTCAATTATCGTTGTCATCCGAAGCCAATTTTTTTCAAAAGACTGATTTTATTTGTAAATCATGTAAAAAAAACCTTACTTATAACTGAAAGCTGACATTTTCTAGTTATTTACTTTGTAGATCTATATAAATCGATTTCGGATGAGTCTCAGTACATTAACAAGTGTTAGAAGGACGATGGCGATGTTATAAAATATTCGTTAATGAATACAAAAATGGTTGCCGTTCAGGACTATCCACGAATTGCATTTATTGTTTTTATGATTCTCCACGTTGTCTGGGGTAAAACCATAAATTGTTTTAAATGCAAACACAACTAATCATTATAGATGATTTTATATGGAAATATACTATATATGAATGTTACATTTTGTAAAAAAAATTGAAAAACATTAAGCATTAAGGAAAAAAGTTGTGGGTGGGGTATGGAAATTACATGTATATATAATATATGAATTTAATAAACATGTAATATGGCCAGTGTTGGCATGTCATGTAAAAAAAGAGTCTTATGATGTTTTACTTCTGCATGGTTCCTTGGTGATTCCGTGCCCAAGTTAATATATAAAAATTATAATTGTGTTGGTGACAGGTCAAGCCTATTTTTTTGGAAGTTCGAGCTGTACGAGAATCACATACACACTGTACATCTACCCTATACTCACTGTTGAGACTAGCCGTACAGCATTTTTTCAATACTAAATAAAGGCTATGATGAAGTCAGTAACAAGTTTCTTTTAAATTATTTGCTATATTATAAGGGTTTAAAGGTTTACCGGTATATATACCAATATATTGCAATATGAAAAAATAAATTTCATACAAGGTAACGATTTTTGGAAAACTGGTTTTTTAGAAAAATCATAATTTTCAATTAACTGCCTTCTACTTTTTTTTACAAATTTCACATAAAATCTTTAACTGGTGAATTTTATTGGCGCCAACGTAAGATAAAAATGTCCGACAACTAGTACACTTCAAAGTCAATAAGTGGCTGCATAATTTACATAAGCGGCCCATATGTGAAAGGTTACACGCGACTTGTTTTGTTTATCAAATTGTGTCACACTTTACTTTTTATTTAGTTCTTACATTTTTATTAAGTTTCTACATTTTTGTACTAAGAATAATATACATATAATAATAATATATAAATAGAGGATATTCAAGCCACGAGTGAAATATGGTAATTTTCATGCCAAAAGATGAAAATAAATCATGTATTTATAGAAAAAACTTAAATTTTCTGTTTATTATATACATTTTTCTCTTTTTTGACATTAAAATTTAAAAGACTTTCCCCTAAATTTTGTGTACTGGCAGAGCTTAAAAGAAAGTAGTCCGGCAAGACACCAGTGAAAATACGGAAAATATGTTTCACTGCAGTGAAAAATAAATTTTTACAGTGAAAATACGGAAAATGAAAATACGCATTTTATTCCATCAATATTTCTCAATATTTCATTTATAAGTATATAATAAATAATGTTACTCCATCTTTACATCAAAACATATACACGACAATACGTGCTACGCGCTTCGGCAAAATGGCAATATATTGCAATACGGTTTTTGTCGTATTGTTACACCCCTACTACAGTGTATATTATACATTTCAGGAGAAAGACACAGTATTAAAGTTGTTGAAGAACCATCCAGTTATGGGTTTGTACTTGTTTTAGATTAGGTTTTCTTTCTCTTGTAAAGCAGTATATGACATAAAAAAATTAAAATAATGAATTGTAGATATTTTAACTATTTCACTTGAAATTCTCCAAATTTATTGAATTTGTTGGAGATATTTCATGCTCCAAACCAATTCTTTTAGAATCATTTTTTTCTCCAATCTTATTTTTAAGAAATTTCATAATCTCCAAACTAACTCTCATAGATTACTCTTATTTTTCAAACTGTTGTCTTTTATATTTTATCATGTACATATGTTAAGAAATTAATAAAAGTGGAACAAACAGTCAACACAGGATAAGTTTTAAGGTTTTAAACTTTTATTTAATGATGATAACTGACGTTTTGACTCTCTGGTTATAAATATAAATATGTATATTTGTTGACAAAATGAATACATTAAATGTTTATGACTATAACCAGTATATAAGCTTTGCATCAATTATTATAGTTGCCGTCATATTTGGTTATATACATGTGTATAAATAACCAGTAAATATTATGTTCACAAAAATTCATTTAAAGCCAGAAAGCTAAGTGTCTAGAGTAATATCATAATTACTGGTATATACAAAATTGTAGAAAGTCCATATTAAATTTTATGGTTTCCTTTGTTAAATGACCATTTATGTTAACTAACAATAATTGGGCTGTCTATGTTTTATTCAAGAACTTCATTTTTCAGTGGTAATCTGTTTTAAACCCTTGACTTGCTGAATTTCTTAAACTTTTTGATTGTTTATTTGTTTTGGAACTGTCAAATTAAATTATCAGTTTTTGGGGAAGTAAAGTCAGCCAGTAGTATAAAGTCTGGTCAGACTGCAAGGAAGTTCAAGTTGGTCTGGCTGTATAAATGTACTTGTGGAAGAGGATAATCATTTTTGATTCTGGTAAGTTAAGGGTTCACTTTGAAACTTTTACTTTCATTTGTAAATTATGCAAAGAATGGCTTCCTCAGTTTTAACCAAGTACATATTTTAGTGATAAGATTAACATGTATGTTGATAAAATTTCACACTGTTTATTTGCAGGATAATGAACAGTTACCATGGTGGAAATGTGATTGAAAGTCATGCATCCAAATTAAAAATGAGAATAAAGCCATCAAATTTCTCTGGACCTGCTCTTTTTCACAGACTGGTTGGAAAATGTTTCACCTTAACAGACGAAAAGTAAATGACATTATCTTTTTTTTTGTACAATATTGTTTTCAAATGTCCAAGATCTATTTATGTTGTCATTCTTTATTCAATGATTCTGACAATATATTCTTTACCTTGTAAGTTTGGACTTTAAAAGCATTTCAAAAGGAGCTTATCAAGAAAGCCAAGTCAGGCATTTGGGCATTCACAATAAAATAACTTTGTTCTGATATTTCAAACATATCAGTGTCGGTTTCAAAATGGCTACTGAAAGTGTAGCCACTTTATTGATGTTTGAAAACAATGTTTGACAGCAATAAGGATAGTAACATTCTGCCTAATAACATTGTGATTACGAAATTTTTAATATGTGCAGCAAAATGCAATGAATGGTTGGAAGTTATTATAGTTGAGTGAGTTATTATACTCATGTGTATTATCATCCATGGAGGACTGGAGGTTCTGATAATTGAGTGAGTTATTAAACTCATGTGTATTATCATCCATGGAGGACTGGAGGTTATGATAATGGAGTGAGTTATTATACTCATGTGTATTATCATCCATGGAGGACTGGAGGTTATGATAATTGAGTGAGTTATTAAACTCATGTGTATTATCATCCATGGAGGACTGGGGTTATGATAATTGAGTGAGTTATTATACTCATGTGTATTATCATCCATGGAGGACTGGAGGTTATTATAGTTAAGTGAGTTATTATACTCATGTGTATTATCATCCATGGAGGACTGGAGGTTATGATAGTTGAGTGATTTATTATACTCATGTGTATTATCATCCATGGAGGACTGGAGGTTCTGATAATTGAGTGAGTTATTAAACTCATGTGTATTATCATCCATGGAGGACTGGAGGTTATGATAATGGAGTGAGTTATTATACTCATGTGTATTATCATCCATGGAGGACTGGAGGTTATGATAATTGAGTGAGTTATTAAACTCATGTGTATTATCATCCATGGAGGACTGGGGGTTATGATAATTGAGTGAGTTATTATACTCATGTGTATTATCATCCATGGAGGACTGGAGGTTATGATAGTACAGTGAGTTATTATACTCATGTGTATTATCATCCATGGAGGACTGGAGGTTATGATAGTTGAGTGATTTATTATACTCATGTGTATTATCATCCATGGAGGACTGAAGGTTATGATAATTGAGTGAGTTATTAAACTCATGTGTATTATCATCCATGGAGGACTGGGGGTTATGATAATTGAGTGAGTTATTATACTCATGTGTATTATCATCCATGGAGGACTGGAGGTTATTATAGTTAAGTGAGTTATTATACTCATGTGTATTATCATCCATGGAGGACTGGAGGTTATGATAGTTGAGTGATTTATTATACTCATGTGTATTATCATCCATGGAGGACTGGAGGTTATGATAATTGAGTGAGTTATTAAACTCATGTGTATTATCATCAATGGAGGACTGGAGGTTATGATAGTTGAGTGAGTTATTATACTCATGTGTATTATCATCCATGGAGGACTGGAGGTTATTATAGTTAAGTGAGTTATTATACTCATGTGTATTATCATCCATGGAGGACTGGAGGTTATGATAGTTGAGTGATTTATTATACTCATGTGTATTATCATCCATGGAGGACTGGAGGTTATGATAATTGAGTGAGTTATTAAACTCATGTGTATTATCATCCATGGAGGACTGGAGGTTATGATAGTTGAGTGATTTATTATACTCATGTGTATTATCATCCATGGAGGACTGGAGGTTATGATAATTGAGTGAGTTATTAAACTCATGTGTATTATCATCAATGGAGGACTGGAGGTTATGATAGTTGAGTGAGTTATTATACTCATGTGTATTATTATCCGTGGAGGACTTGAGGACTTATTTGCATGTGCACCGCATCTTAACGTTAGATAACCTTTTGTTGACTTGAAGTTATAACAGTTGAGTGATTTATTATACATATATGCATTGCATCTTAACTCTAGACATCTTGTGGAGGACTGGAAGTTATGATAGTCGAGTGAGTTAAAGGTTATAGGCATGCACACTGCCTTTACCCATCCAATTCTTTTTGCCACTCTAGCAAATTGGAAAACACTTTAACAGTTCTACTGTTCAAATTACAATTTCTGGTACATGATTTATTTAACAGGTTTATGTCTGAAAAACTGTGAATAGCTTATGTTAAACTCTATGGTCATTGTATTAAGCTACAAACATCCTGTTGGATTTTGTTTGTGTTAGTCAATATGTAATTTTTGTTATTCTGTTTGACTAATTTTGATGTTGTTTATTTTCCAGCTATAAATATGAGTTGTGCCCTTTTTCCAATGTAACACAGCATGAGCAGTCATTGAGATGGAATCCATATAGCGGAATACTTGGGTAAATCTTGACACAAACACTTATACTTATCTCTTTGCATAATTTCTGTCAAATAATGTTTTGGCTTAACAAAATGAAGTAGAGGAGTGTTGGTAAAGTGATTAAGGTGTTTGCCTCTCAACCCAGGGATTATGGGTTTAAGCCCATGTTTCCTTATATATCACCAGAACTGAGGTGCTAGTTCCAGGAAATAGACTCAGCATTGGTCCAAATTATCTACCAGCTTTCTTTTTAGACTTTATTAGAAATTTTTGCATGAGGACTTAAGAAAATCTTTTCATTAAGCATTGTAGTATTATGGCATATGTTTCCTGCTCTATATAAGTATATTATTATGCAGTAGATTTGTTTTTCAGTAAAAGGAGTTTTAAGTATTGCACATTGAACTATTAAAGTTTTATTGATTAAATGCTATTGAACTTGAGTACACCAAATACAAAATTAACTATACATGTTTAAGGGTATAAAGCTTTGTGTTTTGAAGTATATTTTAGACACATATAAACATTCTCATTGTTGTTTATTTATCTGGGGAAGTTTTAACAAAGAGTGTCACAGCTGAATAATATTTAAATAAAACAGCAAAATAAAACATACCTTAATAAAATCATATATTTTTATCAACAATCAAATCTTCTATGTACAGGTTGCCTAAAGCCTTATTTAGCTTTATACCCTTAAACTGTAAGGTAATATTAAGCATTTGATATAAATTCATTTACTTTATGTATATTTATTGTCTTATCTAAGTGTGTGGCAAGAATGGGAAATAGAGAATAACACATTTGTTGCCATGGTTATGAGGGAAGGAGATAAATGTGGAAGTAATCAAAGAACAATGAAGGTAATATTATGAAGTAATCACTGTAGCATCTCCATCTGTAGCCCTTTTCTTTAACCCATTCACTGCTAGTCTTGGTCTACACTGATGATATGGGTATAATTAGTTATGAATCACTAAGGGAACAGAATACTTGACATCACAATAAATGAGGTGTTAAGAGGCTTTGCAGAGTTTCTGCTTAACAGTTATCCAAACCCGAGATATTCCTGTCTGGGATGTCAATCAGTGTTTGATAGGTAATGTTGGTAGTTTTCACTTCCGATCACAGCAGTAAGCTACATTGAATTTACCAGAGCACAGATCAGTCACCGCATTTTTTTGCATACCACATATCAAATATCATTTAAAAAGAAATTATAAAAACTAATATTTTTTACTTAAATTAGTATTGCTTTTTAATGGAATATTCAAAGAACAGGAAGAACTATTGTACACACTCATGGGTTGGTGTCAGAGTTGGCATTACACCTCAGTTAAGTTTTTGCAAGTTGGTATCTCCAAAACTAATGAAGGTTGAAACTTCACACACTTGTTTGAATAGGATGTCACCATCCAAAGCCCATAACTCTAATGTAGACTTTGACAAAATTATTATCCTTTTTTTTACTTAAATTTTACATTATCTAGGCTCTTGTTTTACTATCAAGCATTGAGAATAGTGAAGCACCCTCTCTTTCTGACAGTTCTTGTTTAGCATATGAATTTTCAGTTTGAATTTTAAAAGTACACCTAAATGAAAGGCACTGGTATGACAACATTTTATAGCAGAAAGCTTGTCTTATAACAAAGTTCAGCCTGAATAACACTTTTTGACCGAACCCTGCCAACATGTTTGTGATTAAAAATGCAACATTGGTTATGGAATTATCATATTTCAGGTATTTTTCAAATGTGGTAAGGGGAACAAGGTGCTGAATGTCAGTGAGCCGTCCACCTGTAACTATCACATGAACTTTAGTACACCCTATGTCTGCCATAAACAGTCTATGTTAGTTTACCCCACCTTAAACAAACAGTTACAGAGAGAATGGGGATTATTGGAAGGAGAACTTCAAAGAGGGGAGATAACCAAAAAGGTAAACCTTACTTTGTAGTTTTTTTGTTTTTTAACTGAGTGGCCTCACGCAATAACTAAATATTACATATAGATAGCTTATTAATGGCCTGGCCATATTCTTAGAAGCTGACTTTCTCTTACTTAGCCTATGTTGAATTATCACATTAATCACATGTGCCATCTGATCTTGGTCTGCATGGGTAGAATCTATTGTCACCCAGCATGTTAAGGGTTAAAATACTGCATATCTTCTGTACTTGACATAAGGGTTCTATTTTAGGTTAATAATTCCTTTTATTATTGACTTAAATGCTTTGTTGCATTTATTTGACCATCTTTTGGCCGTTATTTAGGGATATAAGAAGTACTTGTCAAGGATATTTGTGAAGGCAGGCTACATGTTATCTGAAGAAACAAGACAGGACATATCACATGATGCAGTGGAGAAAGAAAATGCTGCAAAAGAGAAAGAAGAAAAAACATTCACTGATGTGTACACATGTAGAGAGGTAATTCCCATATTTTCATATAAAAATTTAAAAAAAAAGGAAAAAAACTAACAAAAACAAAAATGTAAAAACATTTAAACATAAGCTTCTGTATAATAATTGTATTCAACCATATGTTTTTTCAATAAAATAGCAGATATGTATCAGTATACAATTATTGTACATGATGATGAGGTGAATATCCGACAAATCTGATATTCACTGGGGCTTAAGGTCAAGGTGAATGCCACATTAGCCAGGTCCTTAAACTTGAATATTAAGCAAAATCTATAACTGTTCTGTTATGTGACCAAAATAAAATCCGTCATTTGATAGATGTCCTTTTTCACTCATTTAAACCTTAAATAAATAGACACAGAGAACACGGTCTGAATCTGTAATTTACATATGATGTTTGATAAACAGAACATTGATTTTGATTGGTTGGCTATTATCGTATATCCTGTAAAACATTATTGTTTATAATTGTAGATGGTTAACATGAGTCATGTTTTATGACATAAGTTGTTCAAATTAATATAACCTTGTATGAAATTATTGTCACATATAAGTTGTTTGAGTCATTATCACCTTTTATCAAAGTCAATGTCACACATAAGTTGTTCTAGTCAAAATCACCATTTTCAGTCAATGTCACACATAAGTTGTTCAAGTCAAGATCACCGGGTGACCCTTTTCAAAGTCAATGTCACACATAAGTTGTTTGAGTCAAAACACCTTGTATCAAAGACAATGTCACACATAAGGTGTTTTGTTTTGTTTTTTAAGTGAATATCACCTGGTATCAAAGTCAATGTCACAAAAGTTGTTCGAGTCAAAATGACCGTGTATCAAGGTCATTGTCACTTTTAATTTACAGTTAATCACAATGAATTGTTTTTCATACAATAATTAGTTTTAAAGTTAAAATATCTGATAGCAAGAGGCTATATAAATTATTGCATGAGTTGTATGATAATATTATTGTATATTTATAGCTGTATCATGATATTACTATGATAATATTATTGTATATTTATAGCTGTATCATAATATTACTATGATATCATAATATTATTGTATATTTATAGCTGTATCATAATATTACTATGATAATATTATTGTATATTTATAGCTGTATCATAATATTACTATGATAATATTATTGTATGTTGTATCATAATATTACATTACCTATCATTAAAGGCACATCATGCCTTAGAAATAAATAAATTTTTACGTCTTTAGAAAACAAGAATTTTATAGTTGTAGAGAAATGTTAGATGCTTGTAACCTGAAAAAAGTAGCGATAAATGTGAAATAATTTGTCATATATGTAGCAAAATGTAAACAAAGTATTATTTTGACTCCCATACAAAATACTATATCACCATATCTTTAATTATTGCCAGAAAGCAACAGATGAATAAAGTGGTAATTGGCCAAAAAGTAACTTCTTGAATACTATAAGTATAAAAGTACACCAAATTAAAGAGCTTTTGAGAAGTAAAAATAAAAGCATTTCTGAGACATAATGGGCCTATAATCTATAATTATTCATCTTTATAGTAATGGAGTAACTATGAAATCTGATGGGTACTGTATAGAAGACCTTTAGACCAAATCTCAGTATGATGATACTAAAGTTGTTAATCATTTACAAAATGTATATAAATTTTTTTATTATATAATCTATAAATAGCTTTGAAATGCCTTTCCCTGATTGGCTAACAAGCAACTTTTTGTAAAAAATAACAGGTCAATATCAGAGTATATTCACTGTTTTTTTCCTAAAAATAGATTTTCAGAGTATATTCACCGGTTTTTCTTCTAAAAATAGATTTTCTGGAAATCCCTAAAAGACGCGAGACTTTGACGTGACATCACGCCAAGTTTGTTGTTATTATTGTGAAAAAAACGTTGAGTGGGGTGTACATAAGAGTCAAATAAGTCTATTTTAGTTACCATTTTTCATTTTTAAGAACAATAGGGATTAGCATGCCAATGGAAAGGGCCAAATTATAGAAACAGTAGACAAGCTGAAAAATAATGATTTCCGTCGTATGTGATAAGCCATATAAAAGCTATTTATAAACTATATAATAAAACAGATATGTACTTTTTAGCTGTTGAATATGATGTGATATGTACTGAAAAATTAATATTGACCTCGGCTATCGCCTCGGTCAATATTAATTTTTTCAGTACATATCACATCATATTCAACAGCTAAAAAGTCCATATTTGTATGATATACAATGTAGATGCTCTAAATTGAATCATACCACACCATGGTAGGAACAAAGCATTTTTTTGCAGATTTTGGAGAGATATATTATTTTTCTTCTCTTAATTTCAGGCATACCAAAAACTACAAAAAGAAGTTGAAGATTTAAGAAACCAGTTGGCTGAAAAAGAAAGTAAGTTATTTTATTTTAGGTTATCCAATAGTTCTACTTTGTAACAAAGTTTCCAGGTAAATTATGGAAATAATCATAATTTTCAGCAAAAATGATTATTGTCAATTCGCAGATTTATCTTATGCCCCCAGTTATGGGTGGAACTTAAAGATTTTCCCTTGTCCTACAGTCATGTTTATCTATAGAAAGACAAAACAATAGAATGTGGCAGCATTATGGACACATTAATTTTCTAGATTTTTCTTCAGATTCATTTCTACGAATCCATGAATATTGATTATTTTTCCATACTCATACTTCAATTATAGATTATTGTTTCATATTTGTTGTTCTCTCTATTATTTCAGACAATGATAGAGCATATGGTCACCACGGTATGGATGATGACTATCTTCATGATTAAATGGCCGTGAATCAGTGTGACAACATGTGCAATATTTTTACTTTAACTGATACGATATGTCTGAAATACAGCATGAATAATGTAATTGTGTTTAAATTATGGGGATGTCATTATTTCTTACATTGTGAGGTATTTGCTTGTAATATGTAAACAAACAAACAACAGCTTGCTGAATATGGAATGCTGTTGAAGTTAGAAGATTAAATTCAGTAGATTTTTAGCTGAACTGTACAAAGTATATGGAGAGCTGTCCTACTTGCCTTGGTGTCTCTGTACAGATTTCAAATTAAAGTTTTTGTGCAGTACAATATTTTTTACTATAACTTCATTATTTTTATTAAGATATTAACTTTAAAAATATGTTCCTTAACATCAGCCACATCTTAGTGACAAGGTTCATAACTCTAGAAGCTATATTTTCAGAAAAATCCTGAATTATCTCCCCATAAACTTAGATGTATGCTAAAAATGTTGTTTTTTTACTATAACGTCTTTATTTCTTAAGGTATCTACTTCAAACTTCAAATGTTCCTTATCATCACCCACACCCTTTCCTGTATTTCTGGAATTATCACCATTTAATTTTGAAATTTATTGGAAATTGTTTATATTTGTTTAAAGTATTATCTTTGTTATTATAAGAAGTATCTACTTTAGACTTAAAATAATTGTTCTTTGTCATTATCACATCATGTTTGACAAGGTTCATAACTCTAGCATCTTCATTTCAAGAGTTATTTCCTCTTTGAACTTATTTTACTTTAAAAACTTCATAATTATACTTCTTGCTCTTATTATTTTTGTTACTGAAGAGATTGACTTCAGATTTCAAATTGTTGTATTTTCCATTAGTCTAGATCATAGAAATGTCTGCTTAACTTTTATTGACATGAATGTTCACATGTATATTATGTATTGAAAAAATATGTAAGAAATATTATCGGTCTCAGCGGCGTTTATCAGCTATTTAACACCGGTTTGGAGTTTTGACCACGAAGGCCTTAGGCCTGAGTGGTTAATTTTTTCGCATCAAAACGACAAAACAGGTGTTAAAAAGCCGATAAACACCACTCAGACCGATATTATTTTGATTCTAACAAGATAAAATAAGGAAGACCACTACTGTTGTTTTTTCAAGCGAAAATGATTTCCAGTGCCGATTTTCGTACAATGCTGTTTGATTTCGCACTCTACTTTTGATAATATCTAGAAATTATTAAACAAAAGAAATAATAAGAAAAAAGTTATTTTATCAAGTTTTTAACAAGAAAAACTTATGTCTTAGAATGGATTGTATTGTGTTTACATCAGTGCCCAATTTATCATTCTTGTATGTTTGAAATGATGTCAGCGTTTATGAATGAGTTGTATACTTAGGATGACGTCATTTTGCTGCTTACGGATTGGCACCGTTTTGTCAAAATATTTATTAACTGACATGGATCAAATCTGTGGTGTTAGTGTATGTTAGATATTATTTCGGTATTGTATGAAAAGAACACATATGAACGGAAAATATAAATTAAAAATGCTTTTTTTATTGTTGCTTTAAAAGGCTTTGTAATCTATATAATCTTGGGAGAAAACATAACAGCCGCATATACAAGTAGTCCTTAACCAGTGTTTATTGGCAGTTTAACACTGTTTTTTTTTTTTCTTCTTTGTCTATAGTAAAAAAATCACGAAGAGTGTTAGAATGAACATTTGAGTTCTTTGATTGATTTTTTTTAATAGTTTTGAGAGGTTTTTGATATATCAAAAGAAACTGATACATTGGGAAACACTTTCTTTGATAAAGGAATTTTGAGGACATTTGTTATATTAAAGCGATTTAAGAAAAGTGTTAATTATTTCTATGATTTCCAATAGTCTACAAATAATCCAGTGAATCTCAACTCTAAAGCTAAAATACTCATATGCTAGTGGTAAGTTGCTTCTTGCCTTAAAATACTTTGCATTAAATCAAGATTTATTTATTTATTTTATTTTTCTTTCTTGTGGGAAAGGGTCCTTGTCCAGTCTAATTGGGACAAAATGTGTGTTGTGATGCCAAAATTTGGATTTTTTAAAATAAGTTCACACAATGTCATATTTTTGTTTTATTTATCTTTACATTATAGATCAATGTCTTTTTTGTGTGTGTTTCTTTTGAATATTTCAGTTATGCTTGTTAACATGTTCCATCAGCTTAATTTTAGTCAAATATTTATGGGGGATTCACTACTCAGAGATATGATATCTCAAATTTATATATTTGGAAATATTTTGGCAAAAATGTTTGTATTTTCAACTTGGAAAGGTACCTTTTACCAGACCAAAACAAAGAAGGAAAATATTGCTGTGTAATATGATTTTAACATAGATGTCATTAAAATTAAGAACCTAATTTTTCTACTGAATGGTTGATATATGAACATCTTATGATCTTCAATCATGCTTCTAGCTGTTTGGTAAATTCACTGCATATTTTTAATATGTCAATGATAATTTATGATCAGTATTTCCTGTTGTAAATTATATAGTAACATGTAGTATTTGTTTGACGTTATGTTTAGTTGTTTAAATTACAAATACACTGTATTAAAAAAGTTGGAAAGGGTAGAACAGTAGCCTAGATGTTAAAGTGTCTGCCTCTCAATCGAGGGATCATGTGTTGAAGCCCTAATCGAGTCACCACCATGTTTCTTCATATGACACCAGTACTGGTTGGTTCCAGGAAGCAGACTCTAAAATGATTAATATAAGCTGCAAGAACTTGTTTCTCACACAAGCTTATATACATGTATAAATATTTGTAAACTAGGGGTATATTATAATTGTTAAAATTATGTGGGATTTTATGTTTGAATTACGTGGGATTTTATTGTTTGGTTTCTATGTTGTCATTAAATTTTAAGACGATTTTTGCTAGAAACAACTCATTTTTGTGGGCTTTGTATATTAGTTATGCTTTGAGGTACTTGTAGGCACATTATGCCCCAGTAACAAATAAATTTTTACTTCTTTACAGAGGGAAAACACGGGTTTAATAATGTTTAAATAATAGTATGTATGTAGGATGCTTGTTTCTTCAAGAAAGTGAAATAAATAAAAGTGAAATAGATAAAAATGAAATAATTTGTCATAAAGGTAACATAATGTAAACAAAGCAGTGCAATGTATTTTTGACTTCCATACAAAATACTAAATAACTATAATTGTACTTAATTTAAAATTTCTTTTTTTAGAAACAATAAAAGTAGACTAAAAATAAAAAGTTTTTGAGAACTAACAATAAATTATTTTTGAGGCATAATGGGCCTTTAATTCTAAGACGCTTTAAACAAGTATAAAGTATCTATTGAAGGGGATATTGATTGAACAAGTTTAGTTGTTTGTGCTCTTTTTTCTTTTTTTTTTAATAGATTTCACTTAAAAGAACAAATTTTAATTTATATGAAAATTTGCATGAATCAGGATGCATGAAGCTTTAATGACAGTCATGTTTCTTTTATTATATGTCAATGACATAATAAACATATTTTTATTGTATATGATATAGATTGGTAATTATACAAAATATGTAACAAAACAATGTTATTGTACGGTATGAATTGCTTATGTATGATGATACTATTTATAGGAATGGCAGTGTCATTTTTAGTGTCCAGTTTATAGTAACATAAGAGCATACACACACTATGTTTGGAAAGCTGCATTCCCTGTCAGTTTTTATGACATTTTGTATTTACACTGTGTGTACAGTTTAAAACATATCTCCTCTGTATGCTCAGAAAAAAATGTTTTATTTTACATTTAAAAAGAAAATGTATTATCAAATTGCATCTTTAACAATCTGTTTAATATACTGATTCTCCATTTGTCAAGATAGTCAAAATTAGTTTGCAAGTAATTTATAATTTTACGAATGTTTTGATATCCTTATCAGTACAGAAATATGTGAATGAAATATTTGTTTTCCATAATTTTATAAAATTTTGCAAGTTTTTAACTTGAGTAAGAAATTACATTAACTTATTTGCATATTTTATTATTCATATTTACCAGTTACCACCTTATGTAGTCATAATGTGATTATTGAATGTATGAAATGTACAGTTACATGATAACATAATAATCATATTGGTTTTTAGCTCACCTGAGCATAACTTGCTCATGGTGAACTATTGTGATAGGGTTGTGTCTATTGTCCTCCGTTTATGGTCAACTTTTGTTTCAAACAACATCTCCTCAAAAACAATTTGGTAAATGTTGTTAAAACTTTGCAGGATTGTTCCTATCATGAAGCTTTTTTAAAATTGTTCAAAGAATTCCATTTGAATTGGCCCCAACCAGGGGTGGGGGTGGGTGGTCATGGGTTTTCCTGACATAGATTTAGTAAAAATGTATTTAGTAAAAATCTAAACAATACCTTACTTAAAATCTCCAAGGGCTAGAGATTAGATATTTGGCATGAAACATTTTCTAATAGGCCTCTATTAAGTGTTTGAAATATTGCCGGGGTCATTGGTTTTTCTAAAATGTATTCAGTAAATACTTCTTCAAATTAGCCCCCACATGACCTGGGGCCATGACCTAGTGACCGTCTATTTTGCATTTTGAGCTGCAGCTGTAAAATTTGAACTATATGCACAGTTTCAGAGGTAGAATTTCATTTTGACATTAGTAAACCAAGATACCTAGTGACAATCGTTTTGTAAATAGAGCTACAGCTATAAAATTTAGGTGTATGCACAGTTTCAAATGCAGAATTGAACTATGACCTAGATTTTGACCCAGTGTCCTGTTTTTTTATACTGAGGGCTATAGAATTGAAATTTGAATTACAATTACAGTTTCAGATTAGGATTTGAAATTTGATAACAGTTAACTGAGGTTTTTTACCCTATGAACAACAAACATATTTGTAGTAAGAGCTATTAAAGCTATGAAATTTGGACTTTACTCACTGTTTCAGAAGAGGCTTTGAACTTTGGTATCAAGTCACCTATTTTTTTACCGTTACATACATTTTAGCTCACCTGAGCATTATACATCTGGTACAGTCAGTGTTTCTCAGGTGAGCGATATAGAGCCTGTTAGGCCTTCTTGTTTTTTGTTCTCTTAACCAGCATGCATCAAATGTGATAGGCTTATGGCACCTGTATAGAGTCAGGCCTGCATTTACAACGGTGAATCAGACTATATTGTTGGTAGCTTAATATTTGTATTTTGATATTGAAAACATTTAATGAACTTTTCCAAATTCAAAGCTAGGCAGATCCATTACACAAAATCAGCAGGTTAGGGATTAATGTAAAGTATTGGTTCATTTGTAATTCATGAAATAATTGTTTTGCATCATTATTGAATAATTTACATACATTAATCATATGACTTGGAACTTCAGTCCATTATCATTTTGATAAACAGTCAAGGTTAGATATTAACATTCCATCAATGTATTATAGGGGGCTTACTGTGATAATAATAATAATGAACAAACCATACACTTGTTTGTTTTATGTTTACTTTGTCCCCCAACGTGATTCAGATAACCTTATGTCTGTCCATCTATCAAGATAGTTCAGACAGAAAACTGGCAAGGAGGGTTTTGTAACTTCATCCTGTATGTATACATTATAGTCTTATTTAAAAGAGGGCTAATTTGCAGCCCCTTTGTGTCTAAAATAATGCATGAAGGCGGGCCTGTGGTCTTCCTTCACAGTAAAGCTGGGAAATGGTCATTAAATTAAACAGTTTAGTCTGCCAAAGAAAAAAATGAAAAGGGGTAACTGCCTTCTTGTCAAGTTACTTTTTAAGCCTACAATTCCAAAATCCTTAAAAAAAGACAAAGTTGAAGTAAAACCAGTCTTCCCTCTGCTGTAAATAACATGTATTTTTTTAAGATGATGGTATGTACTTTTGTCTACAGAAGCACAGTCAGTTTGAAATGAAATAACATTCCATAACTTTCATACTCCTGAATGGAATGATAGAGAATGGTTATGGTGGTGTCAGTGTTTATTTTTAAAAAATCTTTACACTACATAAGCAGAATTGACCGAGAGCCCCACTTTTTTTTGGTGTATTTGGATTGAATTGTCACCGAATCTTCAAGCTCATTAGTGGTTATCCTACCTGGTGTCCAATCAGACTGGTCGATAGTAAAGTCCCCAAATCCTCTATCCGTGGTCCTCTACTATTCCTAGTTTTCTTCAATGACATCGTGGAAGACCTGGACGTTCAAAAAATCCTGACAATACCAGTTTACATATTATTGTTGACTACACTGCTTCTGCTGCTGAAACACTACAATCTGACATAGACAAGATATCAGCTTGGACTGAAAAATGGCTGGTTACCTGCATTCCACCTCAGTCTGAACTTATGGTTATCTGTCGTAAAAGACATAAACCTTTACATCTCCCACTTCTTATGTATAACCAAGATATAGTGACCGTCAACAGTCACAAACATCTTGGCCTCCACCTTGAAGAAGTTTGCTCTTGAGACATAGTAAAATAAATGATTCGGTCTTGTACTCATTTTTTTCTTTGTTTATATTTTGGCTTTAGATTACTACTAAATGTAAATGTAATTACCCAAAAATAAGGCTTTAAAATCAAGCCAAAATATAACACATTGCAAATTATGGAAAAACCTAGTTAACTTATACTGTAGAGGTTACATTTCCAGTCCAAATATCCTGGAAATTTGTTGATGATTTCTAGGTCAAGCATCGAATTCTGAGGTTAAAAATTAGATACAAGTAACAGCCCAAATATTGAAAATACTTGTTTACACTCTAAATATTTTCATCCTAAATAAATTACGGGTTGTTGCGATGATTTCTAAAGGGTCATTAGGTAAAACATCCCAAATATTGAAAAACCTTTTTAACATTCTGGAGGTGACATTTTCGACCAAAATATCTTGTGTTTCTATGATGTCTAGGCCAAGTTAGAATATGGTTCATCTGGGGTCATATACAAATAAGAATGTTGTGATATCAGTGTTATAGATTTTCTGCTTTTCATTCATAGCTAACAATATTAATTATTCCTTGTCATTAAGAGCCTTAATAATCAGATGAGCGATGTATGGGCCATCATAGCCCTCTTGCTTTTCATTTTTGTGTATGGCACATGGGAAAGCAATTGTCTGATTAAAAGAAATACTGTACAGTAAGATTTGCATATATATTGTATAGACATACATTAAAATTGACAAACATAAAAAGATTTACACAGACATATGAATCATTACAGATATATTAATATTTACAGACAAGTATTCATAAGTCTCTACATATGTATACACTTAGATTTAAATGCATTCTTATATATTAAGAATTTAAAGACAAAATCAAAGATTGAATTCGCATAAAAGAGGACAAAGATTATTGCTTCTTTCTAGCAATTTCATCATTTGTTACTTCTGACCTAAATTACATGTATAATCAACGTTTGAAGTTGTCAGTCATGGGTTAATAAGAAGTTAGTATGTTTTAGTCAAGTTGACGGAAATGATAAGAATAAAGAACATACTTGAATGGGAGTCGCCTGCATTAATAAATTTTGATACTTTTATGACCCAATTATACAGAGTCAAAGGGTACAAAAAGTTCATAAAACACTTAATTGTCTCTCGACACGTGTGATATAATTGCTTATTGAAATTGTAAATAAAATGTGCCATGAAAACTTTTTACTTTTTACATTTTTTTGTGTGAGGCAGCATGGCCGATGTGTATGTATGTGTGGGATTAGTAAGCCAGTTACGACTGTTGGCTGTGTGGATTCAAACCTCGTCATGGGCAAGCTGCTGGCAACACTTCAAATTCTAGTTTCTAAAACAATCAAACTAATAAAATAGTACAATAAATTCTGTGTAAACTAAGACTTATATATATAACGGTAAATATTAACGAACTTTTGAGAAAAGTTTCAAAAAGGTAACAAACAAATAACACTTCCACCACACATGACTAGTTTGATACTATAGAAATGGTTCTTTTAATATCAAAATCAACTAATGTACGTATTGCTATTGTGTTCCTATGTTCCGATGGCATGGCTTTAGATAATATAAACTGAACTTTCATATCAAATTTGTACGCTTGGAAGCTTGTACGGTTATCTAACGTCATGTTTTCATGTATTGTATTTATGTGTGTTAATTATTATTATTATTATTGTTGTTGTTGTTGTTGTTGTTGTTGTTGTTATTGTTCTTTTTCTTCTTCTTCTTCTTCTTCTTCTTCTTCTTCTTTTTCTTCTTCTTCTTCTTCTTCTTCTACTTCTTCTTCTTATTATTATTATTATTATTATTATTATTATTATTATTATTATTATTATTATTGTTTCACTTTGTCTATGAAATTTCAAATGAGTGAAATGCGGAAATATG